TCATCTTTCCTTGCTGTACTTCTATTGTGTTATTTATCTATTCTGTAGATCTTTTTGTGCAGCCCTTTGGAAATCGTGCGATATAAATAAAGTGGATTGGCCTGGATATGAGGCCTCCTGACTGAACATTCCTGCAGACAGAAGCAGAGCCAGACGGGTCTGAGCGGCTCTACGGCCTCCGGCTCCCCTCAGAGCAGATATCCAAACCATGCTGCACCACCAGTCTGAGCAGTAAGGGGGCTGGGCAGGGCCAAAAAGGGCAAACGGAGGCCAAAAGAAGCAAAGAAATACCCGAAAACAGACCAGACACTCAGGAATAAGCTGTAAAAGATAAAGAGTGGCACTAAACTAAAATACAGTGACTAAAATACACTAAAATACAACAAATTATGCAAAAATAATGGAATCAAATGGGGATTCAGTTTTTGTTTTCCCTGCTTTTATTCAATCTTATACTAAAAAAATGATTTTTTCTTTGAAATCTTTTTTTGTTTGGCTCTGAAAAAATAAGTACACGATAAACCAAAATAAGTAAACATGGCAGGTTTTTGATTCAATCATTCGAAAGTTGCTCAGAGAGATGTTGTGACTGAAATGAAGGACGAAATAAACACAGAAATACTCAAAAACAGCTCAGCGGACACAGAAATTAGCTCTGAATGATATAGAATGGCAACAAATTATGCTAAAATTATCATATTACTATTGAATTATGCTAAAATTATGCAATTATTATTGAATTATGATAAAATAATGGGGTGAAATGTGGATTCAGTTTTTTTCGGATTCTATTTAATCTTTTACTAAAAAGGAAATGTATTTTTTTCATTTTCTTATCTTCTTTTTGTTTGGCTCTCAAAAATAAATAAATACGATTTTTTCTGCACGATAAACCAAAAAAAAACAAACAACATGGAAGGTTTTTGACTGTGTTTTAACCAGGAAAGTCGAGGAATTTCCCGGTTAGTCTGTGTTGAAAACGCATTTAAAACAGATAAAAACAGGAGTGTGTTCTCACCTCTCCCCGGGACGCCACGGCGCGG